GCTCTAATGCGCCATTTAAAATGAACCGTGAAAGTAACAAAAGCTTATACATTTTAACAGGTATAATTAAGTGTGGCAATAACTGAAGGTAATATCTGTTTGCGAAATGAAGCCAACTAACATGATTCATATTATTATTATTATTATTTTGTTTCTGTACCCAATATTTAAAAATAATTGCAAATGGTGTGAAAATACAGGTATCGGTATCAGCGAGTACCAAAAATGAAAATATCGGTATCGGACTCGTTCTGAAAAAGTGGTATCGGTGCATCCTTATGTTTTATGTATGCCGATATCACAGCTTGCAGATGATCACTATGCAAAAGCTTCATATGCGTGTGACTCTTTAAGCTCCGCCCAGGGCACGCCTCCAGGAGCTCGACTGTTTTCAGAGAGAAGCTTAAAGCTGTATCTATCTTTATAAATCTGATCAAATTAAAGATTCTTCGAAGATATGAAGGATGCAATATTCTATAAGTACTCAAGATTAATATGAGATGGGCAGAAACTGTGCGTGTTATGTCCCCTTTAAAAGATTTTTCCTGTTCTTTATCATTGACCATTTTACTGTGGGTACAGAAAAGAATCACCCTCTTTAAAATAATCACATTTTGTTGCTTTGCAGCCTGAAATGAAGATGGACACATTTTTTGTTTTATCCAGCTGTATTTTCTCAGTGCAACTTATAACATCCAAGTGAAAGATAAAACACCAACATGTCAGAAAGAATAAAAAAAGTTGAGTTGGAAAAAGGATCACCCCCCTCCTAAAAATGACTTGTAAGTTGTAAACTCAATCAGGTGTAGCTAATCACCTTCTAAGACTTTCAACTCTGATCTGCTGTGGTCATTTTGATTAGCTCAGCATGAAAAGAGCTTTCCTGGAGCATTTCAATCCTTGGTAGTGGAAACAATCAACTATGGGTGGCAAGGCACTGTCAAAAGATCTCCGGGATAATGTTGTGGACAGGCACAAGTTAGGAGATGGATACAAAAACATTTCAAAGGTTTTATCAATGGATAGAAGCACAGTGAAGTCTATTATTAAGAAGTGGAAGGTATTTAGTACAACACAGACCCTCCCTGCATCAGGACGTCATTCCAAACTGGATGAAAGAGCCAGGAGGAAACTGGTCAGAGAGGCGACCAAGAAGCCTACAGCAACTCTGAAGCAGCTGCAGGAATTTATGACAGAGTGGTCATTGTGTGCATGTGACAACAATATCACTAATTCTCCACAAATGTGGCTTGTATGGGAGGGTTGCAAGAAAGAAGTCACTCCTCAAGAAAGGCCACATGTAGTCGCGACTGAGCTTTGCCAAAACGCACCCTGAAGATTCTGAGGCAGATGAGTCTAAAATGTAATTATTTGGCCTCAACACCAAACGATATGTCTGGCGGAAATAAAATACAGCTCTCCATCCAAATAACAGCAGTTATTTGTGAAGACTGCAGTCCACAAACGGTCACCATCAAATTTAACTGAACTTGAGCAGTTCTGCAAAGAAGAGTGGGTAAATATTGCAAAGTTAGTGGAGACATCCCAACAGACTAAAGGATGTAATTAAAGCAAAAGGTGGTTCAAGAAAATACTGACACAAAGGGGTGATCCTTGTTCCAACTCAATGTTTTTGCTTTATTTTTTTCTGACATAAGCTAGCTTTCACTTGGATGTGATTTTAAAGGGGGTGATTTCGTTTCTATTATTTTTCTTTCTACCCGTAAGTATTTGACCCTGTTTATCACCCCATTTCTCTTCCTCTTGTAGATACCAGCACCAGTACTGGTCAGGCCAAACCTGCGAGCCGGCTCCTTCCTCAGCACCAGCTGCCGCGGAGGAACCAGATCATCAGGAGAGGTTAAGACCCCATGTTTTTACATCCATCCTCTTACTCATATATAAACTCTCAGTATATCATAAGTCACATTTTCTCCCAAAAAGTAACAGACTGGATTTGAAAACTTTTCTCTTTTTTTTTTCTCTTTTTTTTTTTTTTTTAATGAAGCAAAGATTACGTGAATATACATGCATACAGAAAGCTTTTAATTTGTCAGTTTTGTGCTTGATTGTATAATTTGGTGTTTGTTCTGTAGAAACAGACATTTTAATAACTTTGGATGTCTACATCTTCAATGTAACTTGATTTGGTTTGTCTGGGTCTGTATCTCAATCTTTTCCTGCAGGTGGTGTTTTTCCTCGTGGAAGTCGGGGTCGAGGACTCAACAGAGGCACTCCCTTCTAAATCCACTCGCCTTTACAGCGTCTGACCAGCAGAAACACCATGAATGACCCTTCAGAGTACCCAGAATTAGCCTACTGCAGTTTTACTTTCATGTTTTGTTTCAATGTGCTTTAAAACATTGGTTAGATTTATTTTATATTTTGTGAGTAATCATACTGACGCAATGTTCAATGGTTTTTGCTAATAAATGGAGAATCTTTCTCGCCATGCAGTTGCTAGTGGTGTTTGTTTCATGCTGGCTTTCAGGCACAGTTGAGCCACTTGCTGATGTCATTCTGCTGGGAGGAGTGGCTGACAGGGGCCGTCAAAGCGGGCAGATCACCGCTAACCTTGACGTTTAGGACTTTAGCTGTAAATCACAGAGATGCTGTTATTAAATGCATCACTTTAAATGCACTGATTCAAAAGAAACTGAAATGAGACTCAAATCAGTAACACATTTCACGCTAAAATCCTCTCACAAACGGTCTTCTCTTTTAATTACACAGGAAATACTTGTGTTGCAAGATAAAATGTAGTCACTTACGCCAAGAGAAAACAAAGTAATCGAAACCATCAGTCTTCCTGGGGTTGGGCATGGACAAGGCTGATGTCACAGGGCTGGGGAAGCCCTTCATTTTGAGCTTGATGTTGATCTCCCCTGACAACTGGATCTCTGTCAAATGACAATAACATCATAAAATAAATAACTTGTGCATCTAATTTTTTTTCTGCTGCAGCGTTAACGCTACAAGCATACACAGCTTTATTTAAAGTAGAAGTGAAACTAGCAGACTGGGTGAAATGCGCTAGGCTGTAAGTGTCTCTCTCATTCTGCACCAATACAAACGTATGTTTAGCTTGCTTTAAGGCCAAAGTATACTTCGGTTTTTACTCGTACGCGAGGGTCCGTGTGCACTGCGCTTGACGCAAATTACATCAACAAAATAGTAAGCGTGCGCTCGTATAATGTATAACGAGTGGTTCCCTGCATTATTTTAGGAAAACGTTTTGTGATTACAGTATTGAGCTGCTGCAATGGAGCAGCTCTAATGCGCCATTTAAAATGAACCGTGAAAGTAACAAAAGCTTATACATTTTAACAGGTATAATTAAGTGTGGCAATAACTGAAGGTAATATCTGTTTGCGAAATGAAGCCAACTAACATGATTCATATTATTATTATTATTATTTTGTTTCTGTACCCAATATTTAAAAATAATTGCAAATGGTGTGAAAATACAGGTATCGGTATCAGCGAGTACCAAAAATGAAAATATCGGTATCGGACTCGTTCTGAAAAAGTGGTATCGGTGCATCCTTATGTTTTATGTATGCCGATATCACAGCTTGCAGATGATCACTATGCAAAAGCTTCATATGCGTGTGACTCTTTAAGCTCCGCCCAGGGCACGCCTCCAGGAGCTCGACTGTTTTCAGAGAGAAGCTTAAAGCTGTATCTATCTTTATAAATCTGATCAAATTAAAGATTCTTCGAAGATATGAAGGATGCAATATTCTATAAGTACTCAAGATTAATATGAGATGGGCAGAAACTGTGCGTGTTATGTCCCCTTTAAAAGATTTTTCCTGTTCTTTATCATTGACCATTTTACTGTGGGTACAGAAAAGAATCACCCTCTTTAAAATAATCACATTTTGTTGCTTTGCAGCCTGAAATGAAGATGGACACATTTTTTGTTTTATCCAGCTGTATTTTCTCAGTGCAACTTATAACATCCAAGTGAAAGATAAAACACCAACATGTCAGAAAGAATAAAAAAAGTTGAGTTGGAAAAAGGATCACCCCCCTCCTAAAAATGACTTGTAAGTTGTAAACTCAATCAGGTGTAGCTAATCACCTTCTAAGACTTTCAACTCTGATCTGCTGTGGTCATTTTGATTAGCTCAGCATGAAAAGAGCTTTCCTGGAGCATTTCAATCCTTGGTAGTGGAAACAATCAACTATGGGTGGCAAGGCACTGTCAAAAGATCTCCGGGATAATGTTGTGGACAGGCACAAGTTAGGAGATGGATACAAAAACATTTCAAAGGTTTTATCAATGGATAGAAGCACAGTGAAGTCTATTATTAAGAAGTGGAAGGTATTTAGTACAACACAGACCCTCCCTGCATCAGGACGTCATTCCAAACTGGATGAAAGAGCCAGGAGGAAACTGGTCAGAGAGGCGACCAAGAAGCCTACAGCAACTCTGAAGCAGCTGCAGGAATTTATGACAGAGTGGTCATTGTGTGCATGTGACAACAATATCACTAATTCTCCACAAATGTGGCTTGTTTGGGGGGGGTGCAAGGAAAAAGTCACTCTTCAAGAAAGGCCACATGTAGTCGCGACTGAGCTTTGCCAAAACGCACCCTGAAGATTCTGAGGCAGATGAGTCTAAAATGTAATTATTTGGCCTCAACACCAAACGATATGTCTGGCGGAAATAAAATACAGCTCTCCATCCAAATAACAGCAGTTATTTGTGAAGACTGCAGTCCACAAACGGTCACCATCAAATTTAACTGAACTTGAGCAGTTCTGCAAAGAAGAGTGGGTAAATATTGCAAAGTTAGTGGAGACATCCCAACAGACTAAAGGATGTAATTAAAGCAAAAGGTGGTTCAAGAAAATACTGACACAAAGGGGTGATCCTTGTTCCAACTCAATGTTTTTGCTTTATTTTTTTCTGACATAAGCTAGCTTTCACTTGGATGTGATTTTAAAGGGGGTGATTTCGTTTCTATTATTTTTCTTTCTACCCGTAAGTATTTGACCCTGTTTATCACCCCATTTCTCTTCCTCTTGTAGATACCAGCACCAGTACTGGTCAGGCCAAACCTGCGAGCCGGCTCCTTCCTCAGCACCAGCTGCCGCGGAGGAACCAGATCATCAGGAGAGGTTAAGACCCCATGTTTTTACATCCATCCTCTTACTCATATATAAACTCTCAGTATATCATAAGTCACATTTTCTCCCAAAAAGTAACAGACTGGATTTGAAAACTTTTCTCTTTTTTTTTTCTCTTTTTTTTTTTTTTTTAATGAAGCAAAGATTACGTGAATATACATGCATACAGAAAGCTTTTAATTTGTCAGTTTTGTGCTTGATTGTATAATTTGGTGTTTGTTCTGTAGAAACAGACATTTTAATAACTTTGGATGTCTACATCTTCAATGTAACTTGATTTGGTTTGTCTGGGTCTGTATCTCAATCTTTTCCTGCAGGTGGTGTTTTTCCTCGTGGAAGTCGGGGTCGAGGACTCAACAGAGGCACTCCCTTCTAAATCCACTCGCCTTTACAGCGTCTGACCAGCAGAAACACCATGAATGACCCTTCAGAGTACCCAGAATTAGCCTACTGCAGTTTTACTTTCATGTTTTGTTTCAATGTGCTTTAAAACATTGGTTAGATTTATTTTATATTTTGTGAGTAATCATACTGACGCAATGTTCAATGGTTTTTGCTAATAAATGGAGAATCTTTCTCGCCATGCAGTTGCTAGTGGTGTTTGTTTCATGCTGGCTTTCAGGCACAGTTGAGCCACTTGCTGATGTCATTCTGCTGGGAGGAGTGGCTGACAGGGGCCGTCAAAGCGGGCAGATCACCGCTAACCTTGACGTTTAGGACTTTAGCTGTAAATCACAGAGATGCTGTTATTAAATGCATCACTTTAAATGCACTGATTCAAAAGAAACTGAAATGAGACTCAAATCAGTAACACATTTCACGCTAAAATCCTCTCACAAACGGTCTTCTCTTTTAATTACACAGGAAATACTTGTTGCAAGATAAAATGTAGACACTTACGCCAAGAGAAAACAAAGTAATCGAAACCATCAGTCTTCCTGGGGTTGGGCATGGACAAGGCTGATGTCACAGGGCTGGGGAAGCCCTTCATTTTGAGCTTGATGTTGATCTCCCCTGACAACTGGATCTCTGTCAAATGACAATAACATCATAAAATAAATAACTTGTGCATCTAATTTTTTTTCTGCTGCAGCGTTAACGCTAACTAAAATCTTTCCATTATTTGAAATAAAGCTGAAATAAAATATAAATAGATGAAAATGTTGCTTTGGTAATTGAATGAAATAAAATGAGAAATTACTAAAGTTGCAAAAATGATTAACACTGCCATTAAAGTAAGTTAAAGCTAAATATTAAAAAACTACAAATGAATAAATGCTATAATCACAAATAATACTAAACCGTTTTGTTGATATAACTACATTTTAAATATTCTTTTCAATACATTGCAAGACAATTTTCTTAGAGTACCTCAATTTAACAACAATAATTCAGATTACCTGCTTGTTTGACATTTTTTGGAATTTTGTCTGAATTTTTGGATCTCTTTCCACGGCAAGTTGGTCCACTTCCAGAAGGAAAAGATAATTTCTGAACCATGCCTCCTAATTAAAAAACACACATTATGATTAATTTTCTCATTTTGGTCATTTCTAATTATTCTAACCAAACACAGGACACAGAGGGCTCCGGTTAGCACCTTTCTTGAAGAAGTACACAGACTCGGGTCTCTTTCTGGTAGCTGGGACTGGCAGAGCAGCAGTGATCTCACCGGTGAGCCCACCAAAGTCCTGGGACACAGATCTGGGATATCCAGGCTCCACAACACCATTCTCCAAACTCCAGTAGTTGTCACCCTTAGTGAGAGAATATTTACAATTCAGTGGATTTTCAAGGGTTGCGAACACAGTGATGGTTTTTGGTACCTTGATGATGTAGGTCTTGCCCTGGCAGTTGCAGCGTGTGAAGGCCGTGTCGATGGGAGACGGGATGCCCAGTTCTTCAGTGATTTTACGAGCAGGGCCGGCTCTTCTAGTCTTGGGGTTCAGCAGCCAAAAGAAGTGACCTGAGATGGATAACACTTTTCTTAATTAGTGTTGTTATAAAAAATTGCACTATACGCAACAGTACATACATAAAGAAGTTGTACCTCTGAAAACTATGATGGAGTTGTTGAAGAGAGTTGCCATTCCATCAATGGCAAGGCCACTGCAGAGATCAGGGTTCGAGTTTGCATCTTAAAAAACAGAAATGAATGGTTCAAATATATTCAGATTTAATTTACACTTCTGGTCAAAAGTTTAAAATAAGCAAGATTTTTTATGTTTTTGAAAGAAGTCCCTTGTGCTCACCAAGGCTGCATTTATTTGGTTAAAATACAGTAAAAACAGCAATAGAACTGTTTGCTATTTAAATGCAATGTAAAATGTAATTTATTCCTGTGATGGAAAAGCTAAATTTTCAGCATCATTACTCCAGTCTTCAGTGTCACATGATCCTTCAGAAATCATTCTAATATGTTGCTTTGCTGCACAAGAAACATTATTATTATTGTCGAAAACAGTTTTTGCTGCTTAATATTAGGAAACAGTGATACACTACTATCCAGACGTTTGGGGTAAAGAAGACTAAAAAGAAAAAAATCTGTTTATTATTAAACCAATCAAAAGTGACAGTAAAGACTTCTATAATGATTCCAAATATTTCCTATTATAGATAAATGCTGTTCTTTTGATATTTCTATTCATAAAGAATCCTGAATAAAAAATGTATCACGGTTTCCACAAAGTTGTGAAGTGACGACATTTTATTGATATTAATAACACTGACAATGTCATTACTAATAATTGAGCACCAATAAATGACAATAAATGTGCACCAAATCAGCATATTAAAATGATTTCTGAAGCATCACATAACACTGAAGACTGGAGTAATGACTGCTGAAAAAGTAGCATTGCCATCACAGGAAGAAATTACATTAACATTTATAGTTAAAAGTTATTTTATATTGTATTAATATTTCACAGTATTGCTGTATTACTGTATTTGTACCCAAACAAATTCCAAACCTTTGACCAGTAGTGTATTTTAATGAATCGATTGAACAGATGTATATAACATGAAAGATAGACACAGTATATTTTATATATGGTTATATATTTTAAATACTGAATACAACTAATTTCAAATATTTTCCATACACAGGTGGCAATTACAGGGATGTGAACAAATTCATAAGTGTTACTGAAGTTCCATACCTGGTGCTGCAGGACTGCTGGCTGCCATGGCCTGGCCGATGTCTGCGAGAGTGCTGGGTTTACCTGCAGCAGAGCCAGGTCCGCTGGACGGCCCATCACCTTGTCCACTGATGGAGAGGGACACCTGCACAGGGATGGTTAGGGGACTCCCAGAGGAAGGTCCCGCTGCCTGTAGTGGTCCAGCTGCAGGATCAGGACCAGAGTCCAGCAGTAGGAACCCAGAAGGGTTGGAACCGATGCCTGCGAGGGCATGTATGTAGTTTGGTTAATATTTTGATCATCAGCTCACATGGAAATGTCTGCAGATTTGAATTAGTTGTCTCTTTCCCATAATAAGTCAAATACATTTTAGTTTTAATTGGTTCATTCTTTTTAAGCAAACTCATAAAGCTGTAACCGGGTATGTCAGAGGGTGTCAGAGGAGCGAAGAGGCTGATGTCCTGGGGCAGAGGGCCACCAGCAGGAAGTGATGCGGCATCAGATGGAGCCATAAAGTTATTCAGTCTGGTGTCTGAAAAAAATGTAAAATACATATACACTATCATTCAAAAGTGTGGGATCAGTAAGACTTATTTGTCTATCTATTTATTTATTTATTGAAAGAAATGTATACTTTTATTCAGCAAGGAAGCATTAAATTGTTCGAAAGTGACAGTAAAGATGTATAATGTTGACAATTATACTGTTTTCAACATTGATAAAAATAATAAATGTTTAATGAACACTAAATCAGCATATTAGAATGATTTGTGAAGGATCATGCGACACTGAAGACTGGTGTAATGGCTTCTGCCAATACAGGAATAAATTACATTTGAAAATTAAAACAGAAAACTGTTATTTTAAAAAAGCGATTGTATTTCACAATTTTACCATTTAACTGTATATATAATGAAGACACAAAACTTACCATCTCTCATGAGATCTGGGCTTTGCTGTGCTGCGAGACATACTGCCATGCACTCCTCAGTATAATCTAAAAAAACAGCAAGTAAAAATACACTTTTTCATTATCTAATCGGAAGTTAATACAAAATGAGAGCTACAGGGGTTCCAGCCAGACTGGATCACCAGTGGATGTCTGACTTATTTCCACAATTCATATATGCTTTGTTTTATTTTCTGCTCCAACTTTTGTGCCAGTGAACCTCTTCAGTAGTCAGTGAAATACAGTTTGTCTTTACTATTAACCTAAAGGTATATGAACCCGCCTCCTCACTCCGACTGACTGAAGGCTTCTTAGCTGCTCCGAGGGGCTTCAGATCAGGCTTCTTTGGTGTTTTGGTTTTGGGAGGGACTGAAGACAGTTTGGTCTTTATGTCTAACATGTTGCAGCTTGAGTGAATGACCTTTTCCTGAATATCCTCTACAGAATCTACTGCCAATCAGCACTATAGGGGTCCCTCAAATTGCTAAAAGGGTCACAATCATACCAAAAAAAAAAGAAGGATTAAATAGATAACCAACTTTTGTGCCAGTGAACCTCTTCAGTAGTCAGTGAAATACAGTTTGTCTTTACTATTAACCTAAAGGTATATGAACCCGCCTCCTCACTCCGACTGACTGAAGGCTTCTTAGCTGCTCCGAGGGGCTTCAGATCAGGCTTCTTTGGTGTTTTGGTTTTGGGAGGGACTGAAGACAGTTTGGTCTTTATGTCTAACATGTTGCAGCTTGAGTGAATGACCTTTTCCTGAATATCCTCTACAGAATCTACTGCCAATCAGCACTATAGGGGTCCCTCAAATTGCTAAAAGGGTCACAATCATACCAAAAAAAAAGAAGGATTAAATAGATAGGCAATATTAAAATAATACCTGTTGGTTTGTTTAGTTTTGAACTTCTTGCTGCTTGCAACTGGGAGAGAGCATCTGATGAAGACGAGAATAAAGTCAAAACAGGAATAAAACTGGTATCAAGTCAGTGAAGATCACATATACATTTCTCAATATTCATAGCATTACTAACAATTACAATGAACATTATAATGATCTTAAGTAGGCTAGTAGCCTATATAGTTAAGCAATTTTAAGTAGTGTTTTATACTTGGGGGTCCCTGGGTCTGTATTAAAAAATAATAATAATAAAAGTCTAAATAAGAGTCTTGTGTCATACCACACTGCTCGCTGTAGTCGGGGCAGCAGGAGTTGTGAGTGAATGACCTTTTCCTGAATATCCTCTACAGAATCTACTGCCAATCAGCACTATAGGGGTCCCTCAAATTGCTAAAAGGGTCACAATCATACCAAAAAAAAAAGAAGGATTAAATAGATAATAAAATAATACCTGTTGGTTTGTTTAGTTTTGAACTTCTTGCTGCTTGCAACTGGGAGAGAGCATCTGATGAAGACGAGAATAAAGTCAAAACAGGAATAAAACTGGTATCAAGTCAGTGAAGATCACATATACATTTCTCAATATTCATAGCA